GGAGGAGGGGGAGGCGGGGCCCAGGGAGACGACGTATCTCATGCAGGCACGCCGCTGCGCGCTTCGCGAGACGCGGCCTTGTTGCGTCGGTTGTCGGCGACTGTTCGCTGCCCGCCTCCATGCCGCCGGCGTCTTCCACCTGCTCGTGTGGCGCTGCGGGGGTTTTGGCGGCCTCTCTGATGCGTTTCGACGCGGCGCATCTGTTTTTGCACTCCTGCCCGCCTGCCCTTTTGGGGTGTGGGGGAACCGCTACCCTTTGACCGCCAACCGCCAACCGCCAACCACCGGCCGCCGTCAACAACTGCCGCAGGAGCTGGTGGCGACGAAGCTGGAGCTGGCGGAGCTGAAGGAGCTCCAGCTGGTGACTCAGCGCCAGCTCAGCAGGCAGGTGCCGATCGTGGAGATGTCGCGGTCGGTGTCCCTGAGCGCGCGCAGCACTGGGGGCGCCTCACTGGGCGGTAGGACCGCCTCGCACCTGAGCCTCAGGTCATCGGTCGAGTGACGCCACCGCCGACGGCGACACGCGCCGGCGGGGACACTGTACGGCGGCAAGCGGCGCCACCGCGGCGTATTCAGATCGTCGCGTGACGCGGGGCGTCGTCGCTGCCGCGTGGCTGCGTTTTCAGGCGGGCGCGCCTCGCCCCGGCGCGTGGGTTTCTTTTCTTGGGGCGGGGGGGCGCCACCTTGGGCGCGGGGCCGAAGCCCTGTGATGACCCCGCGCGCGATCAAGGAGTGCAAACACGCACTCGTCACAGATGCGCGAATGGTGCTCCTTTCTTTCACACCTGGGCTTGCCGGCCCGGCTTCGGCGTTTGGCGTCACCACAACTGCTGAAAAACAGACTTTTTAGAGGGGCTGCGCGGAATGTGGTGCCAGGCGCGGCCCGAGGGCCCGTCCTGCGTCACTCGACGGTCACTTGTGACCTGACCAGCGTCACCCGGCGTCACCGAGTCGTCGACCCACGCATACTTCTAACTGGTCGGCCGGCCCGGCCACCTTGACAAAAAAGGAGGCATGTATGAGGATCATAACACGTCCTCCGTCTACCGCCGCACTAGATTGCATGTCTCACATGGTTTTGCCCGCACCGCACCCACCACCCTGTTCGGTCGCGCTCGCGATCCCTGAATTCCTACACCAGCGGAGCGCAGCGCAACCTCAACACAAAAACGCCCTGCACCGCAGCGCCTTGCGCAGCGCGGCCGTCGCACTGCATGGCGAAATGAGATAGCACCCCTTGAATGAGGACGAGACACTTCCAGTGGCCGCCATGCGCCGCTGTGATGCACGTGTGCACGCAGCTGCCTTCTGGCTGTGGGGGCGGATGCACCCGCACCTTCCGTCCTGGGTCCTGCACCCCGCTAAGGGGTGGAGCAGGCCGTGGGTTTTTTATTCATAAACAACTGAGCAAACCCTGGTATAACGTTGAACTTGCCACACATATACGCATATCAGGTTGCTTTTGCTCTCTCCGCGTATGCCGCCGTACCACTTGCCATGTCTCACGCGCATGTACGTGTTGTCGCGGTGGCTCCTGCTGACGCATCGCCGGCAGGCTGCACTGATTGTGTCCGCACTTGGGCGAGCTGCAACGTGGCTGCTGATGAGTCAGGGAGGGGAGCGCGTTTCTTGTTATCTATTCGGGTTAGACACAATGCATGTATCACAAGTGATTTCAAAGTAAAACCAATTCAGGCTGCATCATACTGGTAGCGCACAGGGGGGAGAAGGGGGGAGGGGGGAGACGCAAGTGAACAGCCAGCGCTGAGTGGCAGGTGGCAGGTTGCAAGGGAGCCGGAGTGCATGATGGCGCACAATGTACTGCAGATATGCAGGGTCTTGGGCCTGTGAGCGCGCGCAAGGGCTGCGCACGGGTGACCCCTCCGCAGACCCTGATTTGGACACCGCCGCAGCACGAGCAGCTCAATGAGGCAGTAAGTCACATGTACGCACAGTAGCAGTGACTTGGGATGCCTTGTAGACTAAGGCCCACGTCCACCGCAGTAAGCCGCCCGCCCCAACTGGTGCGGCCATGGGGTAGTGTAGATGACAGTCACAGGGATGCTGACGTGGAATCTGGGCCGGCCAGGGCAGGTTGAACGAGCTGATAGCTGAACAGTGCGCATACATGCATGATCAGACTGTATTTTTTCTCGCATTGAGTGATGAGAACTACCGGTATGAGGGCGGTGATCTTGCTGCTAATCTCGGCGAGCGCTTCTGCAGCGCTCGCTGGCGTATCTGAGGGCGGCAGCAGCAATTTCGACTACTTCTACCTCGTCAGGCAATGGTACGTGGGGATCCAGTCAGCGTCAGGGCGGTTTGCGGCACACGCACGTGCCTCGCGCCTGCGTCACATGGCGCTATGCCTGCCTGTGCCGGCGTCGCCTCAAGCTACCTCAGCGCCACACATTTGCTCCCCACACTTGCGCAGGCCGGCGACGTTCTGCAACGACCACACCTGCACGCACTCGCCCCCAAACCGGTGCGCATCCCACTGCCATGCCCGCGGCCGCGGTCCGTCAGCACCCCTCCCGGGCCCGCAGCCTTCCGCGCCCCCGCCGCCGCCCTCGACCCCCAACCCGCCTCGCACGCCCGCCTGGCACCCCTCCCTCCCCGCTCCCCCACAGATTCAAGTTCACAATCCATGGCATGTGGCCGCAGCGAACCGACGGCACATGGCCTGAGTACTGCGATCCCGGCAACCCCTTCAGCGTGGCTAAGATCTTAGATCTCCTGCCCAGCATGATCAGGACCTGGCCCAGCTGGTCTGGCGAAAACCGGGCGTTCTGGTAGGAAGGGGGTGAGGGGGGGTTAAAGTTGAAGGCCGGCGTGGCTCGATCCGACGCGAGCGGCCGGCCCATCGACGTCGATGCCCGCTTCAAACGCATGGGAGCGCTCGACTCGCACTGGGAGTGCATGCGTCGGATGCTCGGTGAGGAGGCGCGTGCGACGCGTGCGAGAGCGCGTACATGCGGCCTCTGCAAGCATATCCTCTAAGCGTGTCTGCGCCCGCGACAACGGCGGCACCCCCTGTGGGCACCCGCCCAGGTCTCACGAGTGGACGCGCCACGGCACGTGCGCGGAGCGGTTGGTCGGAGGGGAGCGCGGCTTCTTCAAGGCGGTGCTTGGCCTGCACAAGCAGCTGCGCATCGAGGTGTGGGGCCCTGGGGTCCGGCGCATCGCCCGTCGCGCGCGCCGCCCGGCGGGTGACGCGGGCGCGGGGTGAGGGGCACCAGGTGACGCCGTGGCGGCCGCACCCTGGTTTGTCCAGGGACCTTGGGCACCATGTCGTTTTTCAAGTCCTTGATCGGAGTATCCTCTCAAATAAGCACGGCGCTGCCGAGGCTTGGCAGCAGCCGCCTCAATGAGCAGGCAGCCGGCCCACTGCCCCAGTGGGCCGTGACAGCGACTCTCGGCGCCAGACGACGCCCCCCACCCCACCACACCCTCCCCCCCAAAACTCAAACCCCCTGGCGTCGCCCCAGGACGCGCTGGCCGCCGCCGGCATAGGGCCATCCGGGGAGAAGGCGTACGAGGGGCGCGTGCTGCAGCGGGCGCTGAAGGATGGGCTTGGGACTTACCACCACATTTTCTGCGATGCCAAGGGAAACCTGGCAGAGGTGGGCATGACTGTGTGCCTGTGTTTTTGTATTTTGATGTGCGCGAGTCATCATGTGTGTGTGTGTGTGTGTGCGTGTGTATGCACGCATGTGCGTGCGAGCGTGAGTGCGAGTGTGAGTGTGCCGTTTTCCATGTGGGGTTGTGGGAGTAATGATGCTTATGTAACAAGTGCCGTGTGTCTGGGAGCCTGCCTTTCGACCTGGAGCCACCCACCAGCGGAGGTTGCCCGTGTGTATGGCACAGTGGCACTGGCGGGCCGCCATTGTGGCCCCTCGTCCCAGTGCCACCCACACGCCGAGCCCTGAGCAATCCAACAAACTTCACCACTTGAACACAACCGCGAATCCAGGTGTGGAGCTGCGTAGGGCTCGACCTCCGCCCCTTCGACTGCGGCGCACAGCGCGACGCCCCCGCCCTCCGCGGCCCCAGCGCGCTGCCGCCCCAGAACAACGCGTGCGGCCTGCGGGTCAAGATCCCGCCGCTGGACCGCCGTTACGCGCGGCGCGGCGCCCGCGCGTGGGCGGGCGTGGCGCTCGCCGCGCTCGTGCTCGCTGTGGCGGCTGTGGCGCTCGCGCGGCGGCGCGCGGCGGGCGGGGGTGGGGCCGGCGGGGACGAGCTCAGGCGGCCGCTGGCGGGGGCGGCCTGATGGGCTTGGTTTGTATTCGGTGTCCATTTTCCGTGTGCTGTGCCCATCTCCGGACCTCCAGGTCGAGGGGGGTTTGGTGGCGCAGTGGCCCCACAACACCAGCCTGTCCCGTTGCTGTGCCCTACGGATGCTCTGACTCTGCATGTGTCTTTATGGCTGCTGACTATTGACGCGCGCAGATTGAACAGCCTTCATTGCGACTCGCTGCGTACTGTGTGCTGTGAATTCAACGTAATCGCGTCAAATGTACAGTTAGGACCAGGGTAAGCAGTTTCCCGACAGGCGGAGCCACAGGCACAGGCGCTGGCTTGCTGTAAGCCCCACGCTGCTACCTGAACTTACGTGCCTGTCCGTCACCCAAAGCGTCACCCAGCGCTGCCCACGGGTTACACCTGAGCAAAGCAGGCCATGATAGGCCGCATGTCAAGCCGGAAGTCGAGCGCCAGCCGCTTCCCGCCCGCCGCCGCCCCCGCCGCGCCGCCCGCGCCGGCCGCCGCCGCAAAGGCGGACGCGGGCGCCCCCGGCCCACCGCCCGTGCCGCCGGCCCCGCCACCGGCGCTGCCGTTGGCTGAAGCGGAAGACTGCGCCACTGCCGCCGCCAGCAGGCCCCCCAGAGACCCGGTGTATGAGCTGTAGGAATACTGGGGCTGGTTGGCGTACCCCCGCAGCTCGGCCGGCGGCGCCGCGCCGCCGCGGGCGCCGCCGTCGCTCGGCTGGGGCGCCGCGGCCGAGGGGGGCTGGGAGGGGCCCGGCGCTGCGGCGGGGCCGGCGCGTTGCTGCTGCTGCTGCTGCTGCTGCTGCTGCTGCTGCTGCTGCTGCTGCTGCTGCTGCTGCTGCTTCTGGGCGGAAGCTGGGGCGTCCCACTCCTTGCCCTTCTTTTTGATCCAGAGCTTGAGCTTTTTCATGAACGGCCACACCTGCAAACAAACAAAGCATTCGCCCCAGTGAGAACACAGCAACCAGGAATTGATAAACAGCAGGGTCGGGTCCGCAATGGCAGCAGATGTAAATATGCAGCAGATAAAGAGACAGGTGGGGGAAGAGGGAGCTATAATAATCTGCTGACAGAGTCTGGCAACGTAGGCGGCGCACTGGCGGCACACACACACACACACACACACACACACACACACACGCGCGCGCGCGCACACACATGCATGTGCGCTCACTTTTTGCAGAACCATGAGATGCATCTACCCAAATAGGTCCCACGCGGCCAGCATGCTCGGCGGTGGCCCTTCTCCGCCCCCCTCCCCTTC